CCACTGTCAGACTGACAGGCCTGACTGACAGGCAGTTCTCTGGATTGTCTGTCCAGCCTTTCTTGCAGATGGGTGTCACACTGACTAACTTCTGGTCACCTGGGACCTCCCTCTTTAGCCATGCCTGCTGGTAAATGATTGAAAATGACTCAGTGACTCTACCAGCTCCCTCGGTACCCTTGGGTGGGCCCCATCTGGTCCCATGGACTTGTGCGTGTCTAAGTCGTAAATCAGTACATGATGGATACTCAAGAAGAAATTATTTTTATCCCTTTTTCTCAATGTTCCTTTCTCCTGTAGCCTGCTCCTCTTTACAGAGTTTACTTCTGGCTTCACACCTCTGCTTTTAATTTTGTACAGGTTGCATGGAAGTGTATCTGAAACTGAATTGCTGGATTTTAAGTATTGATGTTTGTGGTTTGTACTCATAAAGTCAATCAAAAGACTGACCAGTGTTCTTATCAGTGTTCAATCTGGCATACTAGAGCCAAATTAAAATTGATGGTCATGAAGAAGTCAGGAAGGTAAACACTAGTCAGGAAGAGAAGTTTCAATGCCATATCTATAGACAGTCACAGGGACAACACATTGCCTTGCAAAATGCAGTAGACTGCTGATAACCTTTCTCTTACTGGAGCAAGCTCCAGGTTCTGAGAACAGAATATCAAAGATGCAGAACTCCTGGGAACTGAGCAAGAGTTTCTGTTTTGCTTCTCCCTGCTGCCCCCTGCCCTCAGTATAAATTTCATCATTTAAAAGTAAGTATATTACTAAAGCTTTTGTGTTTAAAACCCAGATAGTTGGAGGGATCTAAGCTGTATTTATGTAAGTAATTTGTGGCAAAAGATTATTATTTTTGAGTCACTAAATCCCTCACTATTTCTACTTTTCTAACTAATGCTTATCTTTAAAACATTAAGAGGTTTTCTGGTGAGGAAGGCTTCATAACCAGAAGTTTCTAATTGCTAGCTAACAGTTACATGCTCTGGCAAGAGCATTAATCTGTCACTTACCAGTGGAAATATTTGTAAAACTAGAGATACTTAAACGTCCAGTATTTGCTTTTTTCTCTTTTACAAATGATTGCTGAATCAGTTTTTCTTGTACAGTTGAGTGGATTTGACTGGGGAATGAACTTGGTTTATTTGACATTGAGACCAGTGAGAAAATGAAGGATTTTATTTCCATGGGAAATGGAGGACCTTGAAAGCCAAGTAACAGTGACGATTGAACAGCTCAAGTGGGTTGGAATGATTGAGGGTATAGTTAAATATTTATCACTTGGGTTTAAACCTCTCTGAATTTTATAGTATCCTTAAATAATTTTAAAAAATGCAGATCAGTTTAGGAATAAAACTGTTTAGCTAGAGAATCAGAGAGTGCTGTATCAATTCTTTAGCAAGGACAACAGGGAGAAAGATATCAACTCACCAAACCCAAAATATTAAAGGTTATTGAAAGAAACAGGAATTTCCTACTATTCTATAGATGCACGAGGTTGCATAACTGTTATGGTGTTAAAAACTTATGGTTATTATGCTTATGCTCAGGTAACATCTATAACAAAATGCTGAACTGTATTTCAGAATGGCAGAATTTGGGGAGCAGTGAACCTCCAAATAGTCTCTTGCCATCACAGTTTGCTGGTTGATTGGCCTGTCACCTATGCAGTTGTGTCCGTAGGGGATGGTAGCTTATAGCTTCTCCTGTCCTCTAGGTCTTCTAGGTCTTCCTCTAGGACCTCTAGGTCTTTATTTTTAGATAAGATGATTAATAGACCACATCTCTGAAGCCAGAATGTAGCTGTGGGGAAATTGAGATTCAAAAGACTGTTTTTCAGTGGTTCCTGGGCAAGAGTGAAGTTACCATTCAGTCCTCAGGATGACCATGCAGAGTCTACAGTGTAAGAATGGCAGTGCTTGGTCTGGTGACAACTAAAGAAGCGACACTGTTGCTCTACCTTATCCTCCTTTGTGCAGGGAGACTGTCCTGAGTGATCTCCAAATGCCCCTTCCAACCTCACACATTCTGTCTGTGTGTTCTGATAATGCTCATATCTTATAATCTGACCCATTAGAATATGGTGCTTAAATAATTTGTGCCTGGTACATCTGTGCATAAGAATTAAGCTGGTGAATGCTTGAGCTCTTTGGTTTTAGGCTGCAAGATGTTTGAGCCCAGCTCTGAGATCTTTGATTTCTCCATGATTCTCAGGGACCAAAATGAAGCTGTAGTTCTCTAAATTCTCTTTCTTACTGTTTTCAAAGACAGGTGAAATATTTACTATTCTCCAGTACTGGGGAATTGCCTCATCACCATGATCTCAAAAAGATAATAGTTGGGGAGTAGCCTTGCAAAGGCATCAACACATTCAGCACTCGCAAACAGTCTCATTCACAGACCTACAGAATCGATGTAGCTCTTGTGCTCTGAGAAACTACTGGAAATATTAATTCTCAATGTTTCTGTTTCTAAACACTCTATCACAGTAAGTCTTAAATTAGAGTAATTTTGTCCTTTATTTTCCTACTTTGTGCTTTATTCATTTTATTTGCTACTTTTCTGCTTTTTTTATGACAATGTGTTGCTTTGTTTGGTTTCTAGTAATTTCTTTGTTTATTCCATTACTATTAACGTTCTCATGCTGACCAGTTCCTTTTCACTGTTAGAAGACCTAAAGTAGATAAAAAACCTTTTTTTACCTCAGATATTTGGGGTTTTTTTCTGTCAAGAAGTTATCAGATTCTGTTCCATTAATTGTTTTAGTGAGGAAATACATGTTTCTGGAAGCTAGAGGTTCAGTTTACCCATGTTCACATCATGCTCTTATTTGGGTGAAAATTGTGAAGACTAATGCATGTAAAGCTAACTTCAACACTCTTAAATGCAGTTTCTGGTTCTCCTCAAGTCACTCTCTGAAATTCTGTAGTTTGATCACGGCTCACTGACTGCAATGCAAACAAAAAGTTTCACTTCTCTTCTAATATCCAGTGTTGTAGTTCCAAAAAGGCACTCTAATTGTGATATTAGATGCAGTAGTCACTGGCAAAGCTTATATTTCAGAAACATCACTTATGGCTAACACACACTAATAGTATTGCCAAAGCCATTAGAACTGGTGTTAGGTGATGAGGTTGAGAAGACAGCACTGCCTGTGCTCTGAGGGTCACAAATCTTATCACAGTGGGTATATTACAGCAGATTGTTGTAGTGGGCATGGTCATATCATCTTGCATAAGGTGCCATCTTCAAAAAAAACTCTACAGTAAGAGAAAGTTAATGCCTATACACCATGGCCTTAATGGTTTTCCCAATTTGTAGTGTTTGGTCTGGAAACACTAGGAAAAAATAAGCCAATCCAACAAGAAAAGCAGGCATACAGTTATAATTTCATGCACATTCTTATAGTTTGTTACTTTTGCTTTTGGCTACTTGAACCCCAGTTCCAGGGGTGAGATAGGAAGCCCCATTGCTTTTTACAACACACAACAAAGTAATTTGTGGTTAAACTGGAAACAGAATTTATAACAGATAGACAAGATGCACTCATGTAACTACATAACCCTTGAACTGAAACAAAGCAAATCTAAAATGCTGACATATTTTCCATTAACTCAGGCTTAGCATCTGGAAAACACAGTTTCCAGAGCCAAGCACAGTCCCTGTCTTGGCATACAATAAAAGCTCAGTAGTTTGTAGAACATGGAGGGCTTGTGCCATATCAGATAGCCCATTTCCAATGGCATTTTTAGACAAGGTGGAAGATTGTCTCATGGCTCATTCTTTGTTGGAAAGGAAGAAAGAAAAGAGGGAAATATGCAGGTATTTTAAAGGATTACATTCAAAATAGATGCATATTTAGGAAGGTGAAGATTAGTTTGGTGTCTTTAGTCTTTGGACAGGTGAATTTTTAAGAACTTGTCTTTGCAAGTTAAACATTCAGCTGTTTGGTGCAAACTTGAACTTCGCATGGGCTTCTCAAGCTTTATGCATGCTCTTTGACCTATGACTTCACACCCTCAGGAAGACAGGACCTTTGTCATTTCATGAGCCAGGGGTGTTTTGAGCCACCTGCAGTTTGATACAGTGTGTCTTGCGATCAGCACTCCTTCCACCGAGCTCCTACTCAAGTTTCCACTCTCATCAGTTGGAAAGACAGCTGTGCACTTTTGAGGAAAACCTTTCAGCAAGAAGAGGTGGCTTGGAGCAATGCATAGCTACATCCTGCCTAAAAGTCAAACCTCCTTTTCTGATCTTACCTTCCAAAGTTGCATGGATTTTTCAAGGCTGGGCACCCAGCTTCTACTCCTACCTATGCTCTCTGCTGGTGTGGCCTCAACTTGAGTGTTATATACATTCTAAGCACCTCAGTGTAAGAAAGTTATTAAGCCATTAATGTCCAAAGGAGGACAGTGAAGACAGCTTTGAGGGGAAGCCATTCAAGCAGCGGCTGAGGTCAGTTGGTCTGTTCAGCCTGGAGGAGACTTGAGGGGGGATTGGAGTTTCCAACATCCTCACCAGAGAGGATGGACGATGGGGAGACGGACAGGCAGGCACTGATCTCTTCTCTGTGGTGACCAGTGACAGGACCCAAGGAAATGGCCTGAAGTTGTGTCAGAAATGCTGTAGGTTAGGTATTCGGAACAGGTTCTTCACCAGCAGGTGTTTGGCCACTGGAACAGGTCCCCCAGGGCAGTGGTCACAGCACCAAGCCTGACAGAGCTCAAGAAGCGTTTGGACAATGCTCTCAGGCACATGGTGTGATTCTCAGGGGTGTCCTGTGCAAGCATAATAGTCGGATTCGATAATCCTGATGGCTCCCTTCCAACCCAGGGTACTCTGCTGTTGTGTGCCCGGGACGTGGCTCGGGCCCGGGCCTGTCGGGGGCTCCGGACCCCCTTCCGCCGGCCCCGCTGCCCGGGGGAGGGAAGGAGGGGGCGGCCGGCGCCGTGCCCGGGTGAGCGCCCCGCGCGCATGCGCCACGAGCGCGGCGCCCCCGCTCGGCTCCGCTCGGGCCGCACTCGGCTATTTCCGCCTCTTTGTTTTAAACTCCGGGCCGAGCCCTTTAAATCCCCCTTTTTTCTTTTTAAAATTTTCTTGGGAAAGGGAAGAGGGGCCGGTGTTTCCCTCCGCCTCGCGTTTCCGACTCCTCTGCTCTCTGCCCTGCGGTGGCGCTCGGAGAAGGACGGGCCGGGGAGCGGAGGGTCGGCGGCGGCGGGGGGAGCCCCCGCTGTAGCCCCGAGCGGCGGCCGCGCCCCCCCCGTCAGGTCAGTGCGGGGCCGGGGTGGGCGTGGGGGTCCCGGCCTTGCCCCGCAGAGGGGCTGGAGGGCAGCCGAGGGGCTCGGGGGCGGGGCGGGCCCGCCGCCCCCCCGCCCGCCTGCGGGGTATTTGCGGTGTGGGCTGCGGGGTGAGAGGAGGGGGTGCGGGGCGTGCGGGCCGAGGGTCCTCTCCGCCCCGACGGCTGAGGGGGCTGCGGAGGAGCGGGCCGGGGCTGGGGGGGCCGCGCTGGAACTTTCGGGGCGGGCGTGGGGTGGTCACAGGCGGGGTGGGGGTTTTGTGGAGCTCCTCTCCCGAAACTGTCAGGGAGTCACTGTGGGCTGGGGGAGCGTCTGTCCCTGTCCTGCCGCGTGTGCCCACCGTGGTGTGCCCTCCGTGGGGGAAGGTGGCTCGGGTGCTGGGGGAAAGGAAAGCCGCACACCCCCGCCCCACCCGTTCCTACCCTCGGGAGGAGTTGCCGGTTGTGTGGAGGGGCCTGGGCAGGGGACAGAATCCCACGGCTTGGGGAGAAAGGGTCTCTTTGAGTGGGGGGGTGAAGATGGCGTTTCCAGTAAGGTGGGCATAGAGGGGACACGTCCCTTGGGTGTGCGACTTCAGCCGTGCAGGTGTGTGGCTCCAGTGCTGTGTATCTGTGGTATGAAGTTGTGAGAAATAGGAGATTAATTTATACTCATAGGTAAAATACAGGGGCTTGACTTGTTTTACAGTCTAGAGACAAATATATGTGCACACACACGCACACGTATTTACATGTGTATGTGTTCGGTATTGAGAAATTTTGAAAGTTTTCTAAACCACTGAGTTCTAGGAACTTGTGGTGTCACATTTGGCCTTTTAAGTTGGTCACTTCTAGCCTGAAACTGTTGGGTGTTACTTCAGTGCCTGTGTGGAAAGTCTTGCGTGTCCCAAAGTTAAAAAGGTTCAAAGGAGGTTTGATTGTTGAGGCTTACAAGCAGTTGGATGTTCTTTTGCTACTTCACATATTTGCAATTTGCAATTTATCTTTTTTTTTTTTTTTTTTTTTTTTTTTTTTTTTTTTTTTTTTTTTTTGGTTACAAAACTGTTTGTACAGGCTTTCTGTCAGATCAGTTTAGGCTCTTCTTGCTTTTTGTATGAAATTAATGCCTCTGAGAAACCAGTTCAAGAAATTAAGAAATTCTAGTTTATTACCCCTACATTCTCTGGAATGTTCTGAAAATATTTTCTTTGGTGTTTTTCAGAATAATACTGTGTATTTTCTTCCAGAGTATCATAGAAGAATTAAGTCAGTCGATCAAAAGCTTTGAATTAAAAAGAAAAAAAGTTGAGATGAGCCTTTATGTTTAAGGAGCATCCCATGTATGTCCTCCATTGTAGATTGGTTTTGTTCATACAGAATGAACAATTAAGCATATGGTAGCTATGTTGTTAGGAGTCATTTTAGTACTAGGTACTGTGCTGTTAAAAGATTATTTTTAGTTAATTTGGAGTAGGATACTTGTAACGTTCTGTGTCCATTCTTTTAGTGGCAGATCAGATTAGAATCTCAACTGTGGTACTCATCATGTGTCTTGTAAAGGTGCTCTGAAATTCATAAAATTATTTCATAACAAGGGAAATAGAAACTTTGTACTGTTTCAGTAGTGTTACTATTTCTTTTGAAGCTATTCTTGTAGACAGTTTATAATGTGTTTAAGGGAATACAGAAGCTGTGGAGAACCCAAGAGACTTGGTAGAAACACATAGGGTGCATTAGAAGAGCGTCAGCTGACTTTCTGGAAATGCATAGGTGCACAGTGACAGCTTGGAAATAAAACATTTCATAAACCAGTTTTTGAGGAAAATCTATTTGATTTCTTTCTGTGGGCTGATCTGGCTGATTTGATCTTGTTTCTCTGCTATAACTGTAGAAAATCAAGATGAAATACTTGTAAATGTTATAATAAAGTTGACTTAGAGTTTGTAATTATCCTGGCTTAATAGTAATGCCAAGAATGGCAGAAATTAATTGCTATGGTATGAAAGATTTTTGCTACTAAGAGACTGTAAAGTACAACATTTAGTCACTGCAGCTGTCCTGCTCTTACATCTCCTGTCTACTTACATGATTTAGAGGAGGTCATCTCAAAGCTTTATATTTGAGATACAGGTAAGTTTTCTCGTCAAGAACCATCCTACACTTACTTTAATAGCTTTCATTTATTTTTTCCCATATGGCCATTTAATCTAGGTAGCGTGGCCATTTTAGCTTTTGTTGTGTAATGAACTCCCAGGACTGAAATAATTCTGGATTAAATTCTTGAACTCCTTGGGTCACACTGTGAGAAGAAGTTGAACCATTTCCATTGAAAATCTTAAGTGGAACTACTAAGCTCTAAGCTACAAAGTGGATGTGGACATGATGTTTTGAAAAGCATGCATGTTTTTTTTTGATAAAAGATAGCCTTTCACTCTACAACTACTGTTTTAAATTATGATACCGACTTACAACAAAGTATAAGGACATCTTGTATTTTATAAAAGAAATACTTACTCCTTGCTTTGGAACTATTGTCCTTGCATGTATGTAGTAAGTCAGTAGTTACTAAGTGGAAGTTTGTTTTGATAGTAGCGTTTGGAGATGCAGTTGATTTAAGACTGTCAGCATTCCTAAGAGTTTATTAATCTAAACTCTGGCCTCTTTTTGTCAGTGCTACTAAAGATGTTTAGTGACGTTTAAACTTCTCTGATTTGCTAGTTTTAGGTTAGGTTTGCTGTCATATTTAAAGGAAATGGGGAGGAAAATCTTCTCAGGGCACTTTGACTACAGTAGGTTAGAAGCCAGGCAGAAGTGCCCATGTCTTCTAGCTTACACAAGACTTATTTGGAAGCTCTGTCTTCAAGTAGTTTTGCATTACTTACACCACCCTTTTTAAAATACAAGCTTGCTGTATGTCAAAGTCTTACATGCAGTACAAGAGAAAAAATAATCAGGTTCTTCTGTGTTAAAAGCAGTCTTACCTGTTATAACACATTTTCATTGCTAACTGAAGAAACACTGTAAATAGTGGTTTGTTCTATAATTGCTTTGAAGAGCCTAGAGAAAACTTGCCGCTTTTATCGAAATTCATAGAATCATAGGATGTTTGGGTTGGAAGGAACCTGAAACAACATTTTGTTCCAGCTTCGCTGCTGTGGACAGGGACACCTTTCACTAGACCCAGTTCTCAGGGCAGCGTCCAAATTGGCCTTGAACACCTCTAGGGATGGAGTATCCACAGCTTCTCTGGGCAGCCTGTTTCAGTGCCTCACCACGCTTACAAGCTAAGAATTTCCGTGCAGTATCTAATCTAAACCTCCTGTCTTTCACTTTGAAGCCATTCCACCTTGTCCTGTCAGTACATGCTCTTGTACAAAATCCTTCTCTTTTCTTGTAGGTTCCCTTCCAGTACTGGAAGGCTGCTATTAGATCACCCTAAAGCTTTCTCTTTTCCAGGCTGAACAACCCCAGTTTGCTCAGCCTTTCCTTGTAGGAGCTGCTCTAGCCCTCTGATCATCTTGATGGCCTCCTCTGGACTCACTCCAGCAGGTCTGTGTCTTTCCTGTGCTTTCCTGTAGAGCTGGACCTACAGGGTTAGGGTTAGACCCATGTGGGGTCTCACCAGAGCAGAGCAGAGGGGCAGAATCCCCTCCCTCACCCTGCTGGCCACCACCAGCGCCCCCAAGTCCTTCTCCCCAGGGCTGCTCTCCATCTGTTCATCTGCCAACTTGATTGGCTCACCAAGGCTTCCAGGTCTGGATGCAGGTCTGGGCTCTTGCTCAGGAATCCTTGAGCTTGGGAACCCCCCTGTACATCTTGATCTAGTGCTCACCCACACTTACCTCTGCTGGTGATGCTGCCTCATTATCTGACTGAAAATTAGCTTTTCTCAAGTCAATTTTACTGAATAAGTGCATCTATACTTAAATCAACAGAATATGAAATTGAAATACTCAGTGTGGTGGGAACTAATTGGACTGAAAACCTTATGTGCTACTGATAGTTTGATTGAAGTTTGTAGAGACCTGAAGTTTTGCAATCATACTGAAGAGCCAGTATTGTAGGAACAAATAAACCAGCAGTGAGTTCTTCAATGACATTATTTTCTTTCCCCCTCTGCCTTTTTTCTCTTTAATCAGAAACAATACTTTAGACTTGGAACTTCAAACTATATGTAGGAACTTAAGGGTCTCTTTATTCCTTTGACAAACACAACACATACTTTTCAAAAGTAGGGGGTGGTACAGATCATTAAAAGTAGGGGGAATGACAAACTCTGGTGAGCTCAAGTTACTTATTCTTTGTGCCAGAAAATGACTGTTCTCACAGTTATGACTGCCTCTTTCAAATTACAATTATAAGTTGATGCAGCCAGTGGGGGAAATTTTTGAGGAGGTGGGGGTGAGAACTGGAGTAAATCAAGGTATGTGTGGTAGCATTATTATAGTTCAGGGATTGTAAGGAAGAAATATGCAAGAGTGATAATCAGTCTTTTTTGTAGTTTTGTTGCCAGTAGAAGAACTTAAACTAGCACTGACACTATTTTTCATCTCTGCAAAGTGGCATGGAGAAGACTTACTCTCCCTGTAGACATCTATTTTGGATGATCTTAAGAGAACTATTTTGTTTTCTGAATTTTTAACTGACAGTAACTTAGAATTTTGTCTATATTAAAATGTTCTGTGTTCTGGCAGCAGTAAGGTTCCTTCTTGTTTGATACATAGACTGTCCTTATTGCTGCAAACTGTTGCTTTATGAATAGCATTAAGTTCATTTTCATTTAAGACAAAGCATTCTGTGTATGTTTGGTGTCAATGAGAAAATGCTGTGCAGTACCTGTGTAATTAGGAGAGGAGAACTTAATTTTTTAGGTTCATGGAGTAAGTTTGATGTTATTTGCTAACTTGCAAATGGCTGTTTTGTCAAGATTTTCCCTTAAGAACTTTTTTTTTTCTCTCTACATAACCAGACAGCATACAGTACCTTCTCTAGTTGATTATTATCCAGTTACATCATAATTTTTACATATAATGCAATTTTTGTGTGAATTATGATTCTTTTATACTAGTACAGGTCATCTATGTTATTCTTTTACAATATGCATGCAAACAATAAAAGTTTTGTAATCATGATGTAATTTTTTCATGCAAATGGGTCACTGCAGTGTTTGATGAATTTTCAGGGAATGTGTTGTGCTGTACAATTTTTTCTGGTTTGTCACCTGAAAGAAGAAGCTGAAAGATACAGTACAGCTGGCTAAATTATAATTTTTTTTATTTATGAATAATTGTATTTGACACTTACTGTTGTATTTGAACTATTGAGTACACAGAGTGGCATAATAAGAGCCATCAGTCAGTTGATGAATTAGTTAAAGGGCATTGCCAAATTTATTTTAACTGACTAGACAAAATGTTTTTGCAATAAAAAAATTATTTGTTGAACTAAGCAGAGGCAATCACTAGAAGAGATCTGAGGAACAGGAGTTTTTAGGGGTTTTTTTGTTTTTTCAAAGTAGTGCCGTCTTTTGTTCCTTCAGAGTGACTTTTCCCAAATGTCATTGGAGCATGGAGACATATAGAAGCTTAAGCTCTGTCTTGGCACTAACATCAAAATGTTCTGGAATCTTAACTCCTGCATTTCGGATGATTGTATTTCCTAATTTTTGTTGTGATAATAACTGGATTTTCTTTCATTTACCTTTTTTTCCCTAACATATAAATTATATTCTGGACACAAGGACTCAGATATTGATTTCAGGATTCAAAATAGGAAGAGGTAAGGAAACTTTTCATGTGCTGTGTAAGTACCTAATCATGCATGCTGCTAAGAGTATATATGCCCCTGTTCCTACATCCAGATAGTTACATTTTAGAATATAACTTTTGTTAAATCTGTATCTGTTAAAGATACTTCTAATGGTTTTTCATCAATTTAAGAAAGTGCTAACACACTGTATTCAAACCCATCTTCTTAATGCTTGAAATGGTTTTCTTTCTGTCTTTTGAGTTATTCCTTTCCTCTGAGGTCTGAACCCCACACCAGTGAACAGTGTTTGCTGGATTACTTCTGTCTGTACTTAGGAAAGCCCCCCAGCAGCAGTGCTGCAGCAAGTGATTAATCTTTCTTGCTTTAGCATTGTACTAGTTGATTGTTTACTCTGTTTTTTAAGCTTTACTGAACATTTTTTAGGAAAAAGCAAGCATAACTTCTTAAATGTTTGCTTAAAATTTCTTATCTGCATGTACATGTTGTTCTTACCATGTGCAAAAGACTACACTTGTGGAAAAGTTCTGTACTATGGAAAGTGTAGTAAAAAATTACGCTCTTATGTGAAATCTGTGGTCTTAGAGAAAAACATTTAGCTTTTTTAGTAACATTTGTATGGATTTATTTGATATGTTAAATGAAGTAAGTAATTAAACTGTCTTTTCCTGTAGCACTTTCCTTAAACTAATTGCAAAGTAGACTTCCATCTTAAATCAATTTATGCTTTAAGATCATGCTTTTTTTATTGGGTTGCCATAAGATGATTACTTCACAGGTATTTAGTTCTAATATTGGTAAAATCGAGTTCACTAATTTATGCTTGTTCTCAGAGAAATTGCAGATGGACAATATTTTTGTATTTGCCCTTGAAGAATCCACATAGGCCTTTTCTGTGACTGAAATTACTGTGGTAATAACATATTTTACCAAAAGTTTCAATCTAACTATTGTTGAGTAGGAGGAGTTTAATTGAAACGCTTTTTAATAACATGTATTCTTTTTAATAGTAGTGTTAGACTTGGTAGCACCAGAGCAAGTAATTTATTGCACGTCAATTTATTAATTTTCTGTTTCTAGTCTTATACTTCTCTTTCTTGATTGACTAGAATGAGGTAGAAATCTCTCCCAAGATCAAGTCATTCTGCAGCAATTTCAGAAGACTTGTGTTTATATTGGTAAAATACTTCATTTGTCATTCTTTGATCATTGGCACAGGAAAAGTAACCTAGTGTTGTAAATGGCACCACACCAGGTAAAAAGGACTCCGGGTGGAGCAGTTTTTGTCTCTTCACTTTCTTGCTTGTGAGATTCTTCTCAGTTTTGATAAAAGTCACGAGAAGCAGTCTGAACACTGGTCTATGTGGTATTAAGTGGATCTTGGCACTTCAAGGTTTAATTTTACTGTCTCAGGAATACATAGGTGTAAAAAATACTGTATTAGTTGCAGTCATTTTTAATGTAACATTTTAGGGATAATCTTAGATACTGCCACTGGGAATTGTTTATCTAAATCTGTTTTCTCTAATCTGTAGCAGTTATTCAAATTATGTAAGGTTATTTTGTCCAGACAATAATAGCCCTTGGGTTCTGTGATCATGATTTTATGACTAAAAATGGCTTGAATTTGAACAAAGTTTGGCAGATACAGGGAGGATAATATTTTGGTTTGTTTGCCATTGATATTGGTGGTTTTGGTTTTTCTTTTTTTTTTTTTTTTTTTTTGGAAAAAGGTGTTGGTTTTTNTTTTTTTTTTTTTTTATTTTGGGGGTTTTGGTTTTTTTTTTTTTTTTTTTTTTTTTTTGGACAAAGATGTGTTTTAGCCTGGCCTTTTTTCTAATTTACTGAATTTATCAATGCTATGGGTTGAAAATAATTGTATTACTAATTCTTTATATAAGCTATTCTGTGATCAGATAGGTAAATCGATTATAGTCTTCTCTTGCGGCTTTCCTTAGGGGAGAGAAAGTCCATCCCGTCCCCATTCTTCAGTTCCGCTCTCCATCACTCCACCAAATGGGTCAAATCACTTTCATTGTGGAACTTGATGTACACTTCCAAAGCCAGTGCTCTGTCAGAGCATTTATTCTCCAGTCACAAGCATTAGTTACCAATGAATTGAATTTCTGGAGGTGTTTGGAAAGTGTCATAGATTATTTTTTTCCTTAATCTTTAGTATGGGAAGGGGTATAAGGGTAATAAGTAAATGCAAAAGGGTGTAAGTAAATGCAAAAAGTTTCTGGAGTCTTCTGTAGCTTCCATTATTAGGCCTGATGTACCATAAGATATATTCACTGTAAGAGTGAAGACAAGGGAAAAATGAGCTGCTTTTGCTTCTCCCCCAGATTCCTTAGCCATTTATGGCTTCCCATAAGTAACCGTTTTTTCAACTTACTCATCCATTATCACCATCTGCAGAGTTTGACAATTATAGCATTCAAATGGAAAAAAAACCCAAATTCAGCTCTCTTCTCCCGACTTTAATTCAAAACCAAAGCAATGAATTTCTTTCTTTTTCCTCTGAAATTACTTCTTTCTGGTGTGAAGAGACCTATACGAGGTAAATCCTGAGAACGGAAAGTCTTTGAGATGCCCAGGATTTGCTTTGTGGAGATCGCTGGGAGACATGGTCTTTTCTGACCTTGTCAGCCAAACTTTTACTGGTGCATGTTTGTTGTGATGAATGTTGTGTTCTGAAGAATGGAGGGAGGCAAGTGTCTGTGTGGGTGTCATCAATTAAAAAACTATTACCTTTTTAATAAAACTGGTAAGTTATTTTCATTGTCTCTTACAGTATAGTTCAGTCACCAAAAGCAGGTCTTCATGAATTGCAGAGAAGGACTAAATTCAAGCCTACAGATACTAATAGTAAGCTGCAGTAGTTAATAACTTGCAGTGAAAGGTTTTATTTTCTTTTTACTTCATGTCATACATCCATCTAGCATTTGAAATTTGTTGTAGGAAGCAATAGGGGTGCATGAAAGTGATTTGGCTTTAAGAAATTCCTGAGGGTAGTTTAAAAGTATATCTAGAATACAATTATTAAGATAAGTAGCAGAGATAGTGTTTATTTATTTACTTATTCCTTGCATGGACTGTCAGGCTCTGTTTAAGCTGAGCCTTTTCAGAGGTTTATTAGTTTATTTCTACAGTTTTTGAACAGTTTGTATCAATGTGCAGCTGAACAGTTTTGGGTGGTAATGGCTATCTGTTCGAATGTTAATTATCAATTCTCTAAGTTCAGTGATGTTTCTAATGATGGATACCTTTTTATACAGACTAAGCAAAAGATAATTATGAAAAGCTGTAGCTCATCAGTTACTTGCCAGTGCTTTCTTTGTATTTTGCTGCTTTCTGATCTTAAACTATGGATAAGAAAAGTTCATCAGTATTTCAGAAAATCGTTATGTCCATCTGAAATGCTGTCATGACTCCTCACAGCAAAAAAGCCATTTTAGTCATTATTTTAGTCATTATTTGTCTGCTTTCATACTAGTTTTCCACATGCATGTTCTTACTTCATTTCACGTGTCTTTTAGTGCTGTCTTTTTTACTTGAAATTGGCACGAGGTTATTTGGTTTCTGTTCCAACTTCTTTATTTTCAGTAACAATTTCCCGTTACCTATAAAAGTTGACATCAATGTTTTAAGGGATTCTGAGGAGTTTTGTGCAAAGATCTAGATGCAGAACATGTCTTCAACTCTTTTTTGGATTAAAACTAAACTATTGCAGAAACTGTAGAGTACCATTACCAGGACTGGATAAGGAAGAGCAACTTAACTTTTGCACTGCTCAAGTATGAGTTTTCTATATTTCTGACTCCAGACAGACAGCCTTCTCTCAGGCAAAATTACTGTAGGCAAGACTGGAAAGGGAAACTTCTACTAGCTAGATTATGTGAATCATCTGTTAAAGTCGCAGCCGGTGCTGAGGTGCTTGTAAGAGAAACTGGAAACTATTTACTCTTTGTGGGATTCAGTTAAGCAGCTGGTATTTGGCAATTTAGCAAGTGTTTCCTTGGCTACTCCTTCCTTAAACTGCAACTCTTAATGAACTAGGCAAAGGAAATACAGACTATCATTTTGGCAGATCTTAATAATATATATTGTTGAAACAGCACTTGAGAATTCTGTCTGTCAGGCAGGTTGGTGGATGTACCTCTTCCTGCACCTGCCTTTTTTCCTGAAGTTTCTCCTTGCTCTTCTGCTATGTGAAGCATGTATTGCCATAAAGTTGCCTTCATCGTTAATTTGTGGTAGTATCTGTTAAAATAAGCACCTGATCTGTAAGAAGGTTTTACTTCCAGGTGGTCATCTCAAGCAAGGCGAGTGGACAGTTCCAAATCAGTAGTTTCTAAAACTGCAGTTTTAGTTTGTCTAAGCTCTTGCACAAGTGAAACAAGCCTCTGGTGAAATTTTGTAGCCTTAGTAATTGAGACCTTTCAGCTCCTGCGTACTGCCAAGCAAATTTTCTCCATTTTAAATAAACTGACAAATGTCACATCATGGCAGTGATTAGGTCACAGCAAAGAATTCAGATGTAAGTGCTGAAGCCTCTCATGCTGTTGTTGTCCGCTGTGGGCAATGTTCTTCATTGACACTGACAGACAAAATAGTGATGGTGTAATGGTGTCGCTCTGCTTTTTGGTCGGAGTTTGAGGAGCTATCTGTTAATAATGACTTTGATGCAATGTTTGGAATTATTAATATTCTGTATTTACTATCAGGTTTTCTTGAACTGTGACACATTATTAGATTATGCAGTGAAAAAAATTGTAACAGTAAAACTTTGGAAGTCTTTTCTTTCTGCAATATTTACAATGGAATATAAAAACAAACCCAAAACCCACAAACCAAGCAACAACCTGAAACAAAGCAATCAAAAAACCTCAAACCAATACCCAGCAAAACAGAAAAAGTTTTGATAACTGAAGATTTTTTTTTCTGCGAAGTGTAACTTTATTGTGGAAGATAATGCATGTTTTGATAATGCTAGACATTTAACTTCTTCC